TGCTCTAATTTGCCAGGAAAGTAGGGGGTAGAAGGGATGGGGAACGGGTGTTCTTGTGTTCATTGCAAGGTCATTGGTGCAGACAATGGCTCATTTCCTTCCTACACACTCATCTTAAAAAAAAAAAAAAAAAGCACACTCACATTTCAACAGAGTAAGATAATTTATGGTTTTCTTCCCCCAGAATTAAGGAGGGAAAAATACTTTTGGCTGTTCATTCCATCCGCCTGATGACTTCACCCGACCTATTCATATGCTTCCCACCACTTTTTACTCATACAGCTACCACCAACCCTGTACACTGATTGTGCCAGATGTATATTATGCAGGGATCATGCACACCCATTCTCCTCCTTTCTCTGACCTTCATCTCGGCATCTCACAGTCCTAGCCACAATCCCCAAAGGGGCCTTTGCTCTCCCCCAGAAAGCCTGGCTGGAGCCAACAGAAATGCGAGACCCCAAGATGGAGGTGAAACAAAGCAAATGTTTCCCATAATTCTCCTTACTCTTAGGTCACGCCCTTGCTTACAGTTTACTGCAGCGCCATCCTGCCGACAACTGCAAGCTTCCCCCTTGTTCATACAATGTTGTCTTCATCCCTGGCCTAGAATGAAGCAGCCTTAAGTTGTCACTAAATGAACCAATGTAAAGCTAGTCTTTTCCCCCTTAAGACAACACTATCTCACCATAACTCAAGGTTTGTAAAATCCATTATCTTGGAGATGAGGTGTCAGTCTTGTGAGGTAGTCCGGGCAAGAAGCACCCCCAGAAGTACTAACTCCAACTTTATTGCAAGGTTACATTAACAGAATCTGGCAAGTCTGAAAGTACATCTCTGCCCCCCTCCCCCTCTATTCCAAGAAACTAGAAAGGGTCCCTTCTGAATCATTCCCAAGCCCCCATTCCTTCTGCAAACTCAGCTGTTGCTTATCTGACCACTGTCTAGTCTGTCGTTCTTCCTCCCGTCTCCCAAGGTCATTCCCACACATCATTACATGAGGTCAGGTAATCCACTGTGGTTATAACCAGAGGTGTGTTGGGGAGTGCAGGCACAACCCTCTCCTCTAATCACTAGCCAGCCTCCCCGCAGCTATTTTTCTCCCAACCTTTATCCTCCCCATTACATTGCATTTCCTGACTTCCTTTTATCGCCATCACCTTCCCACCCTTGCTCCTTTTGAAACCCACTTCTCTCTAGGCTTCCAATGACCTCGAAGAGGATGGGCATCCCGTTTTATTTGGGGAAGAAGAGGAGACAAACTTGTTCAATTTCCTATGAACATGTTTGAAATGCCGTCAGGACATCTGTGCCATGGGGTGCAGCAGCCCCACTTTTCTTGTAGCAGCATCCAGAAAACTAAGAGAGCATTGAACTGGTTTCCAGTATGTATTTGTTTATTCTCTATTTCCCTGTATTCATCCATTTCAATCACTCCTGGCACCCACTTCTCTGGAATGAGAGAGGTAGTCACAAGGCACTAGTCAGTTTCAGCTTCCCCACTTTACAGGACCCAGCTTCTGTACTTGCACAGGCACGGCAGGCCCTGGGACGGTGGCTTTCCCCATACGTTTCATTATGTCACATTTTTAAAACTTTTTTTTTTTTTTTGTCTGTGCTCAGTCATTGCTGACCCTGCAGGGACTGCTTGGACGAGTCCTTGCAGTTTTCAAGGCAA